AGATCTGTGTATTTTCTGTAATCTCAGTACTAGATAAAGATTATCTATTTCATTTAACATTTAGATCCTAGAGAATCGTGTTTCTCTCATTCCACAAAAATAAAAATATTTTAATTGACTATTGAATGTTTCTGAAATTACATTATCTAGGATATTGGCTATTTAATGTAAGAATGCTGATAAGCTTTTGGAATGAGGCTGGTTGTAATAACAAACACAATACTTTCCTTCAACAACCCTCAATCTCAATGTACTCAGTTTTTAGTAATCTGGGCAGCTTCAGAATTTATGCATATTCCAAATAAGGTATCGGTCCTGCCTTTGTAATTTCTGCTCTGACTACTTCATGATTCTGTGGAACATTGACCTCCCACTCGCAAAGCTTATTAGACCAGAGCAAAGGTCAAACTTTGTCTTAAACAGAATTTAAACAAAAAACATCGGAAAACTCTTAATAGCTGAGACATTTCTATTAGTTTCAAACCCCAGGGCAACAACTCCAAGTTCTGGAAAATCAACCGAAGGCCAGCTGAAGAAGTGTGATGCTGCCAACATGTCTATGGCCCAGCAAAATTACATTGCAAATGACACCTCCACACTAAATTCAGTGAATCTCAAATGAAAGACGCAATGGTGTTCTCCAGCCTCCACTCAGTGGGTTATTTAGGAGATGAAGTCGTGATTATGCAGAAAAAATGCAAGGAAACTTGCAGCATTCATTATACCAGGGGACTTCATTGTTATGAAATTGCTTACATTTTTTCTGATGCCAGTGACATTAATCTCTTGCTCAGCAGAAATGGTTTAAAAAAAGTGTTCTAATAACAGCAAATCAGATTAGGGGTGGGTGTGGAAGAATATAGTCTCTCTGCATAATAAACTAAGCCAGTTATAGAGATTTTTTAAGCACTGACAGATTTCTGCCATCCTCTGTATCACAACAACAGAAGAGACACCAAAACCTCTCTGTGCTAGACTACCATCAAGTACAAAATCATTAGGAAGCATATTAGACATGCAGGGACATATGTGTGTTGCTGATCTGGCTGGATAGGCCCCCAAAAAGCCAGTTGCTTTGTGCAGGTCAGCCAGAGTACAGAGCTTGGAATGACAAAAAAAGTCACAACGCAGTCAAAAAGAGGTGGGTATTTTGACCTTTCTTCTCCAGTGGTCTTTATTTTATTTTCGAGCTTACTTTACTGCTGTGATTGTTTTTGTTTTTTTTTTTTGTCTTTGGATTTTAATTAAACGCTCCTTAGGCTTGCTAACTTGATATTGTCTTTTTTTTTTTTTTTTCAATTTAAGAATGAAAGAAGCCTGTTTACCAGGCCAGTTTCCCTCAAATCTCACTGCTTTATCTACAATTTAAGTGTGTCATTAATGCACAATATCCAAGTAAAACTTTGTGAATTTTAATCAGGCGGGTATAACAAGCTTTCCAATTATTTTGAAGCTGATTATCACCCATTATATAACATACACATGGTTTTCACAGCTGTGCAGTAATAGAAAAATCTTAGCTTGCATCTAAGCCTAACAGTATTTAGCTCTGAACCAGATCATATTGAAAGTGTTTGATGCTGGCTGCCAGGTGAGAACTCTGTCCTTACTAAAATGCAGAAGACATTTTGCTGCTGCTTTCCTTGCAGCCAAGATTTCAGCTTGTCACAGACTGCAAACGTGAATTCCTTTTCTCTTTGCTTTTCCAATTTTCTTCTCCCACACAAATCAATCTTACACTCATTCAACTTTATTAGATTTACTCTCAAATCACACTGCTGCAACTGAGAACAGAATCAGACCCAGCAATGCCTTTTGCCTTCAAAATAATGAGCTGCATACTGTACAGTCCCCCATTTCTGTCCTATATGTGCTATATGTGCTGTCTGGAGAACTTACATACTGAATTTCCACAGGCTGTGGAACAGAGTCCTTTAGTTTTATATCAAGGACTACCCTGATTAGAGAGCGCCTTATAAAGACAAAGCACCACACTTGGGTAATTCATGTGCATAGAATCCACATACAGACCCAAAGTTACTGACCAGGCAGAGTAAATTTTTCCGATCATCACACTGTGCAGTTTTTATAATAAAGTGCTATTTGTTTATGGCTAAGCCTTATATGGGGGTATTGCATGCACACTTCAAGCTGCAATGTCAAAAACTGGAACCTTCACCAAAAAAGTATGGATCCTAAGCACTAGGGCAATGACAGGTTTGGTTGTGTTTTTTTTTTCATTTTATTTTGAGTTCCAACAGAACTTTTGTCAAACATAGAGCACGTGAACACACAACAGTTTCCTTCACTGTTCCCCACACAGAGCTGTTCATAGAGGAGGACTACTAAGGAGGAATGTTTCTAAAGCCATAGAAAGCTTCTCCATTTATTTCAGGTTTTGTTTTGTGGTTTGTTTCTTTCTTTTTTTTTTTGGTGTTTTTTTTTGTTTAATATTATGACAAAACATTCTAAGAAAAAAATTTTAAGTAGTGTGAATATCAAATAGTATCCATCAATCCCTGAATCATGCTATTCAAAGTGCTTAAATCTACACTAAAAATAGAATAACAGAAAAGTACTCCCCATTTGGTTAAGGAAACACCTACTGATCGTCTTAATGTGACTGCAGTCAGATAGTTACATTCTGCATATATTCCACATCCCAGTCTTTACCCCAGGGCATGTAAAGGGGAGGGAAGGGGAAAAAATAATGCATTGCTTTCAGAAGATACTGGGGTATGCAGCATCCGGTTGAATGAAGGAAAATGTCATCAGTGCCTGACAGGTGTCTGTAAGAGCAAATAAATAACAGCTTTCTTACAGTATGAAAATAACTAAATGTGCAAAGCTCTCCTACAGTTTTATCTGGCCTGGCAGCTTCATTTCCATTTTGTGGATGTTTGGCACATATCCAGAGGCAGACATCATAATAAAGAACAGATTGTAGAAAAGGACTTGAGCAAATTGTCAGAGAAATAAACATTTTTAAGCAAATAAAAATCAGTGCACATCCCAAAGCTCTATTAGGTTGTTGTGCAGATAGTGAGATTTCTTGAGTTTCACAACAGGAGCATAGTCATTTCCTCCCACGCTGTCAGTTCTGGATCACTCCCACAAACATCCCCCAAACTGCAGTTTACCTGCTTTCTACCCATCACTTCTCATTAAGAAGACCAAAATATAAGCTGTACTTTTCTCGTTCTGACAATCGGAATGAACAAACCCCACACATTCATTATATTGGCCAATATCATTCAGCTACCATAAAAATACCTAAAGATAATTAATTACATAAATAGATTATAACATCTGTTTGCCAGGACACCAGTTACATTTCTGCCAGGGTAAATCAAACCCATGGCTATACGACAGTGTGCTGCAACCAATAACTCTACCCCAGCTCCTCCGCTTCTGCTAGCAGAGACTAGCAGAGAGCTTGGCCTGAGTAAGTTGTTGAGCTACAACACCGCTCCTCTCTCTTTCTAAAACCAGAAAGGACTTTTCCATTTTTTAAAACATGAGTAAGATGCGTATTTCATTCATCTTAAAGATGTCCGGATGTAAACATAATGTTTCTTTTTTTTCTTCCCTGGTAGCCGTGGTACACGCGTTATTTGCAACTCCTCAGAGATAGAATCATACATAAAAAATAAAACTAATTTATTTATTCATTAAAGTGAATAAATTGTTTTTAATACTTCCAGGTCTGATTTAAATATTATTTTTGTATAAATAAAGTTTATTCTGAAAACAATTATATATGTTTGTATTCATGTCATTTTTTTCTGCCTGAGTTCTTACTGAAATCATGTTGAAATTAATAAAGTTTTACTTATTGTTACAAGCTAAAACCAAATGAAAAAAGATTTCTTAATCCTGAATATATTTTAAAGCAAATACAGTTTTTGGAACATTAAAATACAAGGGGACTCTGTAATCCACAGCAAAATAATGTTTTGCTCTTGCTTTTTCAGAAAATAACACTTTCTATAATACAAAGTGACAAACCATCTACAATACTGTCTTTATATTCCCCTTTGGTTTGGAAGTCATCACTGTAAATATCAGCAGGATTCTCTGCACTTCAGTGCCTATTGCCTCACTTGTCTTACTCGCCTGACAATCTTATTTGCAGGATTTTGAAAGGGGGGAAATAAAAAGTTAAATGCTTAAAAATAAAATCCACAACCACATTAATAATTTTCCAGGAAGTGTTAAAAATAGGGTTTGCTTTTATATTTATAAAAGGGGTACAATCAACTCATTCTTAAAATAATAATTAAAAAAACCAAACCCAAGAAAGCAAAAACTAAACCAACTCTAGTTTCTACACACTCTGTAGTGACTACTGTGAAGGAACTGATACAGATGGGGTATATTCTGTTGCTTGACAGGTATCTACCAAGTTACATGTTAGATGATCAGACTGTAGTGTTACCCCGAGTGGGGGTCATTGTAAGGGCAGGGAAGGAGCAGTGCACATTACAGGAGTAGAAATGAAACTGGAGCTCTCAGTAGGGGATGGGGTCCTTCTAAGAACAAATGTTCTCCAAAAGAGATGAACTGCAGCAGGCATGGCCTTCAGGAATCAGGCTAGGCAGGCCAACAAAATGGATGGTGTTTCTGGTATCAACATAGCTTTGTCCAAGCATTCCCAAGAGAGGTTAAAAACAAACAAACAAAAAGTCTAAAACTATACTAATGAAGCAAAAAAGTTTCCTATTTATACAGCAGTCTCTTCATTTAAAAAAATGTAAATATACAAATTCCAATGACATATAAAACAAAGTCGGAAATGTGAATGGGAAGAGACATGGGTAAAACAGGAAGACTGATGCTACAAAGAAATTGCAAAAAACATATGTACAAGACCCTGTTTTTCCTCGTATGTTATCGATTGTAATGCATGTTTAACAGCAGCAGTCGAGGATGTAGTTCCAGGCACCAGACTGCAGACTCAGCTCCTACTCAAGGGGGGTTGACAGCCCCTTGCATTTCGGTCACCAAATGACACTTGATATACTGGTCTCCCGTGGCAAGAGGGGCAGTATCGCACTGTTTGTGTGAGCCTCTTCCGGATTCTGCTCCCTGTTAGTTTTTGTCTGCGGCCGCTGCCCGTTTATAAGTGTCATAGGGATGTTGCAGTAGGTATGCTGGTTACCTATTGAGGTAAGCGGCAGGGTGCCGGTAGGAGGTACATCGTATTCATAGCTTCGATAATAGTGTTTCTGGCGCATCTGTGAATGATATGTGTTATGAAAGGTGGAGCGCAGGTCTGGATGGGCAGTGGCAAGAGCAGTGGAGGTGGCAGCAGCCATGGAAATTGCAGAGACTGTCTGCAGTTCCCCGAAGGGCCCCTGCTCACTGACATCTAAAACCTGCTCGTGTGTGATGGGTTCAATCCTCTTAAAAGGCATTTCATACTGTAAACGTTTCCAGAACTTGGAATTCAACTTGTTGCATTTTGGTCCATGCCATTTAATGACAGTGAGGAGCTTGATGGTATGTTTCAGGGCCTCAACCTCCTGGTAGTTCATAACTCCTCGTAGTTCACTGCATTCAATCAGTATCACTTTGATTTCGCCTGTGACTAACATGTTTCGAAGCCTCGTTTCCAGTTCAAAGATGCTCCAGCCTCTTCTTACCACATAATTTGGAGTCATGACGATGATCAGTCTCTTGCTTTGGTCTACACATCTCGCCACGTCTTCAATGTAGGCTACAAAATAAGACAAGTGCTCAAAAATCAAAGACAACACTCTGCTCCCATAGGCTGGGGAAAAACAACAGAGGCAATTCCCTGCTACCAGAAGATCTCACCGACCTTCTGCAAGCAAAAACATCACTTGCAAATGTGCCAGGTTGGCTTGCCAGGACATGGTCCCGAGAAACCTGCTCTAAGTGGCTCTGCTTGAGCAGGGGGATTGGACAAAATGACCTCCAGAAGTCCTTCCCTTCCAACCTCAACCATTCTGTGATCCTGCAAAACATTTATTCCCTCATGCGCTATGGGATTGTAAGTGTTTGTTCATGAGCTGTGGTTTTGTATCAATATCTAGATGTTTATTGGAACAAGTGTGTACAGGACCATTTTTTCCTTTAAAAAGGCAAAGTCACACAGGTAGGCAACAGAGCAGCAACTGTGTGCTTTAGGGACTTAATCTCAAACTTAAATGATACTCTAAGCTGTACTGTAAGGTTAGATTCTTGTTTTCCTTTCATGCCCCCACCACACTCATTCACAAAAATGGTGTTGTCTCCTGCAAATTAAAGTTTAGTTTGCTGTAGATTTAAAAAAAATCCATGCAATTATGTTTGTTGTTGTGCTTTGCCTGTACCATGCATCCTTTCTTATCTTCAGTAAAAGATACTGAATTTAGTAGCTGTCTATATGGTTACACTGAAGTTATGAAGAATACTACAGTAACTTATGAAAAATTACTGTACTTAGTTTGGAATATGTGAAAGAAACATGAAAAAGATTTACTTGTATCAGCTGGAATCAATTCTCTGAGACCGATCCAGTACCTCCACTATGCATTCACCTGCAGTGGACACTAACAGAATTCACTACTTTACTTTGCTGTAGATGTTATTACTCAACCCTTGCCTTAGTCCAAACACAACTTTTTCCTTCCTATCTGAATTTCTGTAATAAATACTTAGAATCATGGCTATCTTTCCAGGCATTCTGTAAGGAGCAGAAAACAAAGACCTCTGTATTCATTCCTGGATTTGCAAGCTCTCAAAAATCTGTGAAGAAATGTTAATCTCATTCATTTCCTTTATTTATGCATATTTTTCTGTACTGTCTCACCTTCAATCAATATAATACAATTACTAAAAAAAATAATCCTCTTTCTGGGAAATACACATTAAGTATGTTTGGTGGCTTATCTTCATCATTCCCTAAGATGAGGGAGGAAAGATGACATTCTGAAGGAGTAGGCATACAAAAGGTACCAAAACAATCACTGCAATCACTGACTGCATTTGCTATTTAGGAAACACACAAGCACAAAGACATGACTTACTTCCTGTGGGAATCAAATCTCTGTCTGGTATGAACAGCTTGTATCCATAATGCTTTTCAAGCATGTCTGGTAGGATCTCAAGAGCAAATCTTTCTTCTTCTCCAGTTTCTTGATTCCACTGGTCAGGGTCCACTTTGGTATAGGATAGATATGCATCATAGTCTTTGTTGTCTAAGAAAAGCAAGGAAGAAAGTAAGTTAGTTTATTTGTTATTCTTTCAGATTACCTGGACAATTCCCCAGGAATTATTTCTGGGAGAATTTCCCAGGAACAGGAAGTGTTTTAGATAAAATGGCAAGCTTTCACCCAATCTCCAGATACAAATCCCTTCACCTTTTCTGTTTCACCTGGTAGAAGAAAACCTTATTTACAGAGACGCAAGCGAAAAGGGATCCATATCCATAGACTGAAGTCAGTTTGTGCATAAACATTTGTGTAAGGCTCCATGTGAAAGAAATCCACTCAGCTGTGGGGGGACAGCTTGTGAGCACAGAGGAAAAAAGTCGCTGAAAAGAATTTGAATTCTTCTCTAGGTTTAAAAGGGAAAAGAAAAGCATGGAAATACCTAAGCTAATATGCAATTGTCTCTGTTGCATAGTAAAACCAGTTCAGTCTTTCCAGTTTTTTACTATAAATTTAGGGTCTGGGGCTGAAATGTTCTAAGCATATGCGTATCTTTACTTGTAAAACTCATTGGCTTTCCAGGTCTGAAATTATTGCCAAGCTTAAAACTTTGCAGCATCAGCTCCTGATAATGCAGTTTAAATCTCTTGAATTCTATACGCTTAAATTTGCTAATTTAATGTTGCATTAATGTACATTTTGTTACTTAACAGTATGTTATTTCATTTCAACATGAGAAATAAATGTGTCTGTTTCTTAAATGTGCTTGGTGTGCCTACTTGAAAGACTGAATCAAAAGAGCTATCATTAATTTTCATTAGGAGGTCAATAATGCCAAGTGCTCTGGAACTAATTCAGTGGAATAAGAGGTCACGTTTTGACTTTTGTTGTGAAGAAAGCAGAAAAAAATCAATAGCAAGAGTAATGAAATGTTAACATCCTTCTAAGTCTCTCAACAACATTATGCACAGGCTACCCGAGAATATCAATTGCTTGTAAAAGAGACCTGATTGTCATAAGTAATGTTATATTCCTTCCATGCTGACTTCAGTTATTTACTGAGCCGCTCCTTTCCCCATTTTACACCTTTTTGTACTTTGGTAGCATTATTTGGAAAAGGTTGCCAAATGCAAGATGGGTGCAAAGAGTATAATGAAATTAATGAAATGTTGCTAATCTCAAACAGTCTACTCTTCCTTCTGAGGAACCATGCATACTATTCTCATTAACATTTGGAGATGACAAAATTAAAATGGTAAAATTTTAACTACTTTCAAACTTACCAAACCCATGAAATGACCATGTGCTCATTCTCTCACCTGCAAACTTTTTGTGTAATATTACCTATTGGATTGTTATATCTACAAAAACCAAAACAAAACAAAACAACCCAACAACAAAGAAAAGAAAAAAAAAGAAAAAAGGAAACACTGCCTTCTATTTTTCTCTGGAGTATTTTTGAAGCATGATCCTTCACGCTAGACCAGAACCTGATGCTTTTGACAATGCCTTGAAATAATACTGAATGGATCAAGTATGAGATAGACGGAGACTACATAGCAGGTTTTAGTTTCTACAGTAGGACAGTGTTAACCCAGAAACCGAGTTAGAGCACAGAAGGGTCAGGAGATATATGGTGAAATTACAACTGACAAAATGGTGATGCAATAATGCCATTTTCTGTTGTCACCTTATTAAGGGTCATAACCATAGTACACGCTTGAGAGCAGTGTTGCTCTGTTGAAAGTATTTGAATAAAGATGAGAATGTATCATTTCTCAAAGGGATATATCATGAGAAATAATGCAGTGTTCAAACTTATTTAAAGGCTCAGTGTATTATCTCTTTAGATGGTTTGCACATTCTTACTTAGAGAGAAAATTATTCATGCTATGCCACTGTTTTCTTGCATATGTAAATATCGCACTAATGCATTTATTTGAAATATACCTTTTTCTTACCATGGAGGCTCCAGCATTTCCAGTGACTACAACTGCATTATACTGTATTGCATGAAACAGTTCCTTCCACCCTAGTTCCCCATTTTCAATAGCGTTTGAAGGCCTATGAACTGCCAGAATCTAGGGTATATCTACACAGATGGGTTCAGGCGGTCATGAATTTATTCAAACTCAAATCCAGCAAGATGTGTAGTCTGATTTGGGAAACTGTTAATTGCATTAGCACAGTGGTTTCCCTGAGCTATTATATTCCCCATCTGTCAGTTATTTTAAACTTTGTTTGATGAAAAGTAAAAAGTTCAGTTTACAGCAGAATTACCGTATGTGGTAATTTTGTTATCTGATGGGCTGACATACTGGCATGAGCAGACAATTGCAAAATATTAAATGCCTGGGATGATAACATATGCTTTTGTTTTACTTCTATGATATTTATGTATTAGCCTGCTTTTAGTTAATTAAAATTATTTGGGTTATATTGCCAACTCTGTGAAACATTCTAAAAACTACAACAGGCAGATAGCTACACCGCCTGTTTTTCTCTAATTGTTATGGATAGTAAAAAAATGTAGAATTTCAGTTGTAATGAAAAATGGGAGAACTCATAAAATTGCTGAAATCTCCCATCTCCAAGAAAGTATTTGAACACACAATATATAACATCTCTGCATGTGGGTCTTCTCAGTTAAATGGTCTCACCTACTCTTGCTTGTAATGGGTGGGACTGATTCTTACATTCTAAAGAATGTTTCTGATCTCAATTCATGTTTTTTTAATATGCTGCCCCAATGGACTAAGAGGGAGAGATGGGAGCCTGCAGACATCCAGATCTTATGACTGATTCAAACTCTGGAGCCTGGGGCTTGCACCTTGCCAGTCTCTTGGCCATGTCACATGGAAGCAGGAGGCTCTAGGTTTTGCTCTCAAGCCCTTTGCTCTCGAGCTGCTTTCCATGTAAGCCTTCCTTTGAGCAACACATCCAGGAGTCCCCAGACTCCTGGCAAGCATGCAGGAAGTTCATCACAGCTTTGTGTTTTCTTGACCATTCACTGGAATGGGTATTTTACCCATGAAAATATTTGGTGTCAGCATATCTGCCTTTTCCAAAAAAAAAAAAACCCACTTCATTGGAAATTTCCCGATCTGCTCCTAATCACAAATCAAGACATAAAGAAGCTGATATTACTACTTATCCTATTATGTAGTATGACAATTACTGATTTGGCTATGCACTAAGTTCAGATACTGGTTGGATCTAATATTCAGTGTCAGAAAAAAAAGGGCAAAAATCCAAATTCAAAACAAACAAAGCTGGTGGCAAACTAAGCTTTTCTTTACAATGTGAATTTCCTTATTTCCCTTCATCAGCAAACAATTAAGTCTTCTATCCAAGCATCCTCGAAATTAAAATGTGATTGATTGTTGCTTGCACTTTGACTTTAAATATAGATTATGCCATTTCAAAGATTTGTTTTTGTCAGGCTCATGCGCATTAGCAATAAACTGGAATATAGTTACTCACTACCTGTTTCCTCCCCCACTTAGGAAGAAAGATAGCTGTTAATAACCAAAGGCAGGGATGTTGATCATTTCATCTGAAACTTTTTTTCTTTCCCATGGAGATTGAGAGCAATTACATACATATGCTTTTGTACCTGAAAGCACTCTTATTCCCTTAACCATTTCAGGATTCTTTTTTTAGAAAATGTCAGAATAAGTTCATCTTGCATTGCCTCCAGGTATGTTGCAGAGCTGTATTATGTAACGGTCGTCCTTTAATTTAGTGAACACAGCTGAGTGTGACGTACAATATCATGCAACAGCAACACTTGAAACATTTTGATGTAATATGTTTCCCCTTCTCATTCTTTGTGAATGGACAAGCAACCCTCTTCAGTTATGTGGTTTGTAGTTGCTTTCTGCTGCCTACAAGTAATATACAGCTAGGATGGAGTTCTTCAACTCACCAGCCTCCATTTCTGTGAATTTTTGTGGTATCCATTAACTGAAAATATTGAAACCAAACCTAAAGTAGACTTTGGATGGCCAAATTCAACCAGACGATGTAAAAAAAATTCTTTGATATAGTTCTGTAGACAATCATGAAAGCATGAGGAAGCTCTGGATTAGTTCATCACAATGGGATCAAATCCAGCCTGTGCTCTAGGTATGATACGTTCAGTCCACAAATGTTTCAGTCAGCCCAAAACCAACTATGTAGTTGAAAGTGAGGACTTGTAAAGTGAGTAATGGTCATGGAGCAGCGCTTAGCCACAGGCCTGCCCAAATTGTGTGGATTTATTTTAGGGGTAAACACTGAGGGTGAAATCCCAGCTTCATTAATAACACATTGAAACATTACTTCATTCAGTGGCCCAGGATTTTATCCAAAACACCTGTTGCATCATTGCAACATGCATTCTTTAATGCTGTCCATTCCTTTCAGTACTCATTCTAATGTAGAATATGTTATCATACTCCCTGTAACTTTCTACAGTGTTAATCCAGCATAAGTGATATAAACTTTTAGGGGATGAAGTTGCAAATGCTGCTTGTTATTCCAAGGATGTGCTCAGCAGCACTCACTTAAAGGCTCAATGTAAGCATAAAATGAAACCCAAATTCTATATGCATCTACTTTGTCACATGCAAATGGGATCTTTGGGTAAGCAAATTGCTATCAGACACCTAAGAACTCATCTGTATGCATGCTCTTTTAACAGCTACACATGAAGAAATGGTAAACTGGTGCATTTTGGGCCTTTGTGGGTTTATTAAACCTTAAACATTGCAGATATTTCTGCTAATGAGGGAAAGAAATATATTATATATGGATGAAAAATTAAAAATAAAAAACCCCCTCTTCATAAAGTCAGGTTTTTCTTACCAGCTATGCTCAAGCAGATGACAAATTAATTTGCAGCTGGCATGATACGTTTTAGCCCAAGACAGATTAATAGATCAAAACAAAGAGAAATCCCACAATGTCATGTTTCACAGTGAATCTTATTTTAATGAAGCTGTAAGACAGAGTCACTAGGGTCAACCAACGCCTCTGTGCATCCTGGAATCCTCCAGAGTAATTAG